AGCAGTAGTCAATGTGTGGAAGGATAATAGTATTATAAACTAAAAATTTAGTATTGGAGTCAAGAGAGTTTTTAGTACGTGCTAATAACGAAATTGATAAAGCAAGTTTGGAACTACTGTAAGCTATTTGACATGAGGATGCCATGTCATCTTTTCGTCGAAGATAATACCAAGGTGCTTATGACTTGTGACTTGCTTAAGACTGTGGTTAAGATTTATATTAATAGTGTTATTATTTTTTAAGCGGTGAGGAATGCCAATTAACAGTTTCAGTTTTTTCCAGATAGTTTCAGTTTTTTCTGAAATAGTTAAAGCTTGGAAGTAAAGTAAGCTATATATTTTCTAGAAAGAAATAATGTGGAGTGCAATGTGAAGTATTATAATCATTCCAAAATACATTGCTGAAAACAAGTCACTTTGTATCTTGACTGGTCATGGACCTTTAGTAAAGGTTTGTTTTGATTACATTTACGTGCATTCAGAATTTGATGACAAGAAGAACTGTATCATGCTTCCAGGAAGATTAATGAGTGCCAAGTATTCTCATCATTCCAAAGAATATCTTAAGACAAGATGATGTACTTAACATTACAGATGGTTTTTAGAATTCAATAGAAGTTTGTTGAATATTGAACCATCTGGATTCAAAGAGAAAAAGTAAGGGAAACAAAATTTGATTATGAGTTTAGGAAGAAATAAAGGCACAGTTCAATATTATTCGGACATACATCTGTAAAATAACTTTAAACAGAACTATGTTCTTAAATAATACAAAGTAATATTAGTTTCTGGAATCAATGACAAAGTTGTTCAACCTCATTTTAATCCATCTGTGCTCACAAATAGCAAAAGTTCAAGAAATCTGATTGTATATAAAGGTACAGTAAAATCAGAACAACAGTTCATTCGGTATACAAGAATGCACTAAAGAAACAGCACACAGGGAAACTGTAAACTTCTCTTACTAACATCATACAAGACAAAGGACTTGAAAGATTTCATTAGAAGATTTAGAAAAATCTTTAGGTAAGTAGAAATTAACTTGTTGACAGTTTGTTACTTAATAGCATGCATAAACATCAATGTGGAGAAGACCCTATGTTCTGCTTTTCAAACAATAATAATAATGTCTCTTATACACATCTAGATGTGTATAAGAGACAGGATATAAATTGCACATTGCCCCTATTTGCTTTACACAAAAAATATATAGGGCTAACCAAGAATATAAAAAAAATAATTATAATAACTATAAACATTACATTGTTTTGCTTGCGTGTACTGTAGTATGATATGGATTCCCAATCCCAAGAAGAGGGTTTAATGTTAGTCATTATGTCAGTGGCGTAGGGATGGGGAGGGCAGCTGGTGCAAAGCACATGGGCCTAGGGCTAATAGGGGCCATTCATAAATAGACCTAGAAATAATTAAAATTAATTTCCAATTTAATGTGTTTGAAGAAAAAACACCAGCGGGCCCCTCAATAATACGTAGATTTTTAGAGAAGTAATTATTGATTACCATGTTCATTTAAATAGACCGAATTGGTCACGTGAATTATAGTGGGTATAGGGTTTGTGTACAATCTATCGAGATCGTGAGAGGACAGCATTGAATATGGCTTCGCCTTGTTGTAAGGCACATCATAGATGTTGCACATGTTGGTTGGAACGCGAGTTACAATTTGGTAAATCGTTTTATAAGTGTTTCAAAATTCAATTTTTAAAAACAGATGGGTTTGGATAGTGGGAGTGAAGCTTGGAAGTTTTTCAAGGAAAGTACGTTCACGATGTGCATGCTGCTCATCGCCGGCTGAGGTACTTTTAGGCCCAAGTCAAGAATATATTATTCATGGCAAATGCTATCGCAGCATGAATAAAATAAAAATCTTCCCATTTGTTCAGTTGAGCAATCAATTAAGGGATTTTCTACTTTATTACCTACTCGAGTACAGAGTATAGTTGAGGCATAACAACTCCCTCCCTGGTCCAGGCCCTGGTCAAGGCTTAACACTAACAGTGTAGCCTAGGACTATACACTGTATGTAACCTACACTAGCAGCGTTCGAGAGCCTAAATAAAATGCTCGGAGATTGCAAAATAATTATAAATTACTATTTTAAAAAACAGACTGCCTTACATTACTTTACTTTGGGTCGATGTCTAAAAAACATCATAACGCTCTCAAATTTTATATTATTTTATTCATTGTCCATTGCTATGTTTCTCGTCCCTGTACCACATTGAAAATCAGTACTATAGTACTGAAAGTGCCTACAGTATTAAGAAATATTACATAAATAAAAATAAATATACTGTGTTCAAACTGAGTGCAGTGTGGTTTAGGATGTGGTTTGTTTACATTTACTGTAGTACCTACTATGTTTCATGACTGGTAATAGCTGGAGGTGCCGATTCGGTCTATTACTTAATTTTCCACCAGTTTTCTTGATTAGTTAAGAACTAGCTTCTGAGACCACATAGGCCCCCTGAAATAGTTACGAAAGTTACGATTATCATTAGTATGTATTACTAGCCTAGGCTATATAAGGTTATGGGTAAAAAGATAAAGAAGCACTTCATACAATGAAAATATGAATCATACCTCTTCGTAAAATTTTCATTTAAAATACGGATCCTGAAGATTTAAAATGGCGGGACTTTCAGGGATGAAGCTTTACGTCAAAGGCCGGCAATTAATTGTGCATTGGGTCTTATTTTCACCTAGCTTCGCCGCTACATTATGTCCTTGAACATTTGCTTTGATGCATGGTAGAATATTAATCCTCTATTCTAATATTCATTGTACTGCACTACAACCAGTAATTTTAATCACACAGTAGAAGAGACGGCAATCGCAGAACTGAATTTATTTTTGGTAGTTTCATTAATAATTTAATACCATAGTCAGAATTTTTAAAAAGGGGGCCTCCATCCTCTAAAATTTTAAAAATCTATATAAAAATATGGAGGAAAAAATAAAACTTATTTAAGTGCCGTTCCCAGAGATCAAGGGGTTTCATACAGTGGGGGAACCAGCGGGGTGGGGGACATTTCCCCCATACGACAGGCCTGGACCCCTGCTGTCTGATGCATAACAAGGTAGTCGGATCAAAAATAAAAAAAAATAATAATTTGCCTATCCAAACCACGAGCTATAAAAACTATCCTAGTGAACCTTACAAGGAGTTTTTGTATTTCGTGGTGTCGACCTAGGCTTCGTCAACCCCTTGGCTCGAACCCCTCCATCAGACATGTTGCACCCCTTGTCTGCAAATAGTCCGGACAGCTCTTAACATCGCTGTTGACTTTGCTGTGTAAAATAATTAGCACTCATATACTGCATAACAAGGTAGTCGGATCAAAAATTAAAAAAATAATAATTTGCCTATCCAAACCACGAGCTATAAAAACTATCCTAGTGAACCTTACAAGGAGTTTTTGTATTTCGTGGTGTCGACCTAGGCTTCGTCAACCCCTTGGCTCGAACCCCTCCATCAGACATGTTGCACCCCTTGTCTGCAAATAGTCCGGACAGCTCTTAACATCGCTGTTGACTTTGCTGTGTAAAATAATTAGCACTCATATACCTAACCAAAGTAATGTAATTAATTTAATCAATTTCAGATTCAAAATGTATCTAGCAATTGCCATACAACTCAGCATTTTCTGCATCATCCAAGCAGCTAATCTAGATGAGGACAAAGCCTGTGGTGACTGTTGTGCTGCAGGGACTCATGGAATTCCTGGCACACACGGTGCCCCTGGTGCTCCAGGCCCAATAGGCCTAAAAGGAGATATCGGAGTGAAAGGAGAAAAAGGAAACCAAGGTATAGATGGGAAAGATGGGCTTGAAGGTAAAATGGGATCAATTGGTCTAACAGGTGCTACAGGTGAGAAAGGTGAAAGAGGAGAGAAAGGCGAACAAGGTACCCTAAACAACCAGCCTAAATCTGCGTTCTCGGTTGCATTTATGAACAATCCTGGCCGTCATCCAATTGTTCCAATGAAATACACAACAATATTCACAAATGTGGGTAGTCACTACAATGCAGAAACAGGCAAGTTTGTCTGTCAACATCCAGGCACCTACGTCTTCCAATTTACATCAGGGTCATCTAACAATGAAAACATTGTAACACAAATCATGAAGAATGGGCAACGTGTTGTCTCAGCATTTGAGAGTGGTCCCGGCTACAAATCAATTGGAAACATGGTTGTTCTTGATTTAGTAGCAAATGATGAAGTGTGGACTCAGCCTCTAAATACCAACTATAACTATTACTATAGTAACAGTAATACCTACTGTACATTTTCAGGCTTCCTGCTTTATGCAACAGCATAAAGGATTTTAAACAAACTATTAATACAAATTGCAAACCAGCAACTTGCAACAGAGGCTTTTATGAAAAAAACTACGCAGATATGAAAATTCTGTTAATATTCGATTCCTTTCATCTTTTTACTTATAATGAAGTTAACATCAAATTGTGCTTGGTTGTAAAAATAGCTTATTTAATAATGCTACAAGTATAATTAAATAAGTACAGAAAGCATTCTTAGCAACATCATACTGTATACAGTTGGTTCATGATACTTGGTTGAAATACAATCTGAACTCGCGGTTTGTTGCAATTTCTAATTTTGCACAAGCACCTAAAACGGTTGAGAATCAGAATTTTGAACATTTCCAGGTTTTCGCATTTTATAAAAAAGAAATTTGGAGAACATTTATGCAAAATATCAATCTCACTAAATCTAACTGAAAAGTATATCGTTACGCCATTGCTGAATTTGCCAGAGCCAGTCAGATTTTACTAGATGTTTTTCTTAGAATTATCTATTATTTCAGTAGTATGAATAAAAGAACTTTAAAAATGAACAAACTAATTAAAAATTGTCTGGTTTTAATCTGAATTTGTGCTGACAGCTCACTGACTCACTTCTCAGCATTTTGTTAAAAGTATAGTGTCAAAAACCAAATGGTGGTGTGTATTTATTAAATGTAATGTACTATCTGGCATTAAAACTAACCTCAACTCTCCACACTGAAATATTCAGGGTTCATATTTGTATTTACCCCCCACCCCCTAAAAATATTCTTAGTTTTTATCTTGTGGACTAGCATTATTTCATTTTAATGTTCAAACTCTCATTAAAATCATGTTGTATGGTTATACCATACCAGTATATAGGTCCCTGGTTTTAAATTAATTTACTTGGAGGTCCAAATTATTTTTAGAGTTGATATAACAGGCCAAAAGATAATATCCGAGATGCAAGCAACCTGAAACTCTTGGGTACAATGCCCAAATCTCCCTGCTACCACAAATTCTTTGAAGGTTTGCTTCGGCCTTTCAAATTCTATTTTTAACAGTGGCGGATTCAAGGGGTAGTTGAGCAGGCATGGGCCCACCCCCCCTAAATTTTATTTTCATCAAATAAAATAAGGAAAAAAGGAAAATTGTAATCAAAATCAGGTCAGAGAGTACCATTTCTGGCCATCTAGAGGTGCTATAATCATAAATTTTACCTTAGACTCAACCATGGTGGGGCCGAGGTGGTGTAGACTCCCTGGGCTCTCTCTATTCCGAATTTCTGGATCCACCACTGTTTAATTTTACTGCAATATTATGACACACAGCATTCATTATAATTATATTGAAACCAAAGACCGATTTAATATTTTGCCAAAAGAAGGCACTTCAAGAACTATTTCTTCTTTGTTTTAAATCATCACAAATTAAGAGTGGCGCCAAGATTTGCTCGACAATGGGGAAAGAGCAATGTCACTGAGTTGCAAGCAAGTTGTTGTAATTCATGGACCTGAAACTCTTGGGTACAGTGGTCAAATCCCTCTGCTGGTGCAAAGTTCACTGTGAAGGTTTTCTATTTTTAATCTTAATCTTACTACACTACAACATTACAAGATACAGCACTTATTATAATTTTAAAAAGAAGTACCTGAAATACTGTAGAAACTATTTTTTAAAATATTGCAAATGCGGGCGTGGAACATAAAATGTATCATTTGTTAAAGCCCTTGTCTGAATTCCTATTCTGTTAATTTTATTAAAATGTTTTGCAGAGGTAATCTGAAGCAATACCAGTGGCAGCCTTAAATGCTAAGCAGCCAAGCTGTAGTGTTATACGATCCGATACATTTAGGGTGTTTAAAGTAGAGAAAAGTGTGGCAGATGATGTCCGAGGATGAACATCAAGTACAAGCCTCAGTTTTGTAATGATTGGATATTTGCAACGACGGAATTACCCCTGGATCCCTATGCACTACAGCAGTAGTCAATGTGTGGAAGGATAATAGTATTATAAACTAAAAATTTAGTATTGGAGTCAAGATAGTTTTTAGTACGTGCTAATAACGAAATTGATAAAGCAAGTTTGGATCTACTGTAAGCTATTTGACATGAGGATGCCATGTCATCTTTTCGTCGAAGATAATACCAAGGTGCTTATGACTTGTGACTTGCTTAAGACTGTGGTTAACATTTATATTAATAGTGTTATTATTTTTTAAGCGGTGAGGAATGCCAATTAACAGTTTCAGTTTTTTCCAGATAGTTTCAGTTTTTTCTGAAATAGTGAAAGCTTGGAAGTCAAGTAAGCTATATTTTCCAGAAAGAAATAATGTGGAGTGCAATGTGAAGTATTATATCATTCCAAAATACATTGCTGAAAACAAGTCACTTTGTATCTTGACTGGTCATTGACCTTTAGTAAAGGTTTGTTTTGATTACATTCACGTGCATTCAGAATGTGATGACAAGAACGAACTGTATCATGCTTCCAGGAAGATTAATGAGTGCCAAGTATTCTCATCATTCCAAAGAATATTTTAAGACAGGACGATGTACTTAACATTACAGATGGTTTTTAGAATTCAATAGAAGTTTGTTGAATATTGAACCATCTGGATTCAAAGAGAAAAAGTAAGGGAAACAAAATTTGATTCTGAGTTTAGGAAGAAATAAAGGCACAGTTCAATATTATTTGGACATACATCTGTAAAATAACTTTAAACAGAACTAAGTTCTTAAATAATGCAAAGTAATATTAGTTTCTGGAATCAATGACAAAGTTGTTCAACCTCATTTTAATCCATCTGTGCTCACAAACAGCAAAAGTTCAAGAAATCTGATTGTATATAAAGGTACAGTAAAATCAGAACAACAGTTCATTCGGTATACTAGAATGCACTAAAGAAACAGCACACAGGGAAACTGTAAACTTCTCTTACTAACATCATACAAGACAAAGGACTTGAAAGATTTTCTTAGAAGATTTAGAAAAATCTTTAGGTAAGTAGAAATTAACTTGTTGACAGTTTGTTACTTAATAGCATGCATAAACATCAATGTGGAGAAGACCCTATGTTCTGCTTTTCAAACAATAATAATAATAATAATAATAATAATAATAATAATAATAATAATAATAATATATTTATATTATTTATTACATATTGCACATTGCCCCTATTTGCTTTACACAAAAAATATATAGGGCTAACCAAGAATATAAAAAAAATAATTATAATAACTATAAACATTACATTGTTTTGCTTGCGTGTACTGTAGTAGGATATGGACTCCCAATCCCAAGAAGAGGGTTTAATGTTAGTCATTATGTCAGTGGCGTAGGGATGGGGAGGGCAGCTGGTGCAAAGCACATGGGCCTAGGGCTAATAGGGGCCATTCATAAATAGACCTAGAAATAATTTAAATTAATTTCCAATTTAATGTGTTTGAAGAAAAAACACCAGCGGGCCCCTCAATAATACGTAGATTTTTAGGAGTAATTATTGATTACCATGTTCATTTGAATAGACCGAATTGGCGGCTCAGGTCACGTGAATTATAGTGGGTATAGGGTTTGTGTACAATCTATCGAGATCGTGAGAGGATGGTGTATTGAATATGGCTTCGCCTTGTTGTTGTAAGGCACATCATAGATGTTGCACATGTTGGTTGGAACTCGAGTTACAATTTGGTAAATCGTTTTATAAGTGTTTCAAAATTCAATTTTTAAAAAGATGGGTTTGGATAGTGGGAGTGAAGCTTGGAAGTTTTTCAAGGAAAGGTACGTTCACGATGTGCAGCTCATCGCCGGCTGAGGTACCTTTAGGCCCAAGTCAAGAATATATTATTCATGGCAAATGCTATCGCAGCATGAATAAAATAAAAATCTTCCCATTTGTTCAGTTGAGCAATCAGTACCGTTAAGGGCTATTTTCTACTTTATTACCTACTTGAGTACAGAGTATAGTTGAGGCATAACAACTCCCTCCCTGGTCCAGGCCCTGGTCAAGGCTTAACACTAACAGTGTAGCTTAGGCCTATACACTGTATGTAACCTACACTAGCAGCATTCGAGAGCCTAAATAAAATGCTCGGAGATTGCAAAATAATTATAAATTACTATTTTAAAAAACAGACTGCCTTACATTACTTTACTTTGGGTCGATGTCTAAAAAACATCATAACGCTCTCAAATTTTATATTATTTTATTCATTGTACATTGTTATGTTTCTCGTCCCTGTACCACATTGAAAATCAGTACTATAGTACTGAAAGTGCCTACAGTATTAAGAAGGATTACATAAATAAAAATAAATATACTCTGTTCAAACTGAGTGCACTGTGGTTTAGGATGTGGTTTGTTTACATTTAGTACCCACTATGTTTCATGACTGGTAATAGCTGGAGGTGCCGATTCGGTCTATTGCTTAATTTTCCACCAGTTTTCTTGATTAGTTAAGAACTAGCTTCTGAGACCACATAGGCCCCCTGAAATAGTTACGAAAGTTACGATTATCATTAGTATGTATTACTAGCCTAGGCTATATAAGGGTAGGGGTAAAAAGAAAAGAAGCACTTCATACGATGAAAATATGTATCATACCTATTCGTAAAATTTTCATTTAAAATACGGATCCTGAAGATTTAAAATGGCGGGGCTTTCAGGGATGAAGCTTTACGTCAAAGGCCGGCAATTAATTGTGCATTGGGTCTTATTTTCACTTAGCTTCGCCGCTACATTATGTCCTTGAATATTTGCTTTGGTACATGGTAGAATATTAATCCTCTATTCTAATATTCATTGTACTGCACTACAACCAGTAATTTTAATCACACAGTAGAAGAGACGGCAATCGCATAACTGAATTTATTTTTGGTAGTTTCATTAATAATTTAATACCATAGTCAGAATTTTTAAAAAGGGGGGCTCTATCCTCTAAAATTTTAAAAATCTATATAAAAATATGGAGGAAAAAATAAAACTTATTTAAGTGCCATTCCCAGAGATCAAGAGGTTTTATACAGTGGGGGCACCAGCGGGGTGGGGGACATTTCCCCCATACGACAGGCCTGGACCCCTGCTGTCTGATGCATAACAAGTTAATTGGATCAAAAATAAAAAAAATAATAATTTGCCTATCCAAACCACGAGCTATAAAAACTATCCTAGTGAACCTTACAAGGAGTTTTTGTATTTCGTGGTGTCGACCTAGGCTTCGTCGACCCCTTGGCTCGAACCCCTCCATCAGACATGTTGCACCTCTTGTCTGTAAATTTCTGGTTCCACCTTTGGTGCCATAGTTATAAAATGTCATAACTCAGCCCTAATCATTATTTAGGCATGTGATATGTTTTTGTCAAATAAACTTTTAGTCCGGACAGCTCTTAACATCGCTGCTATTGCAATGAAAGGATTTATAGTTGACTTTGCTGTGTAAAATAATTAGCACTCATTTACTTAACCAAAGTAATGTAATTAATTTAATCAATTTCAGATTCAAAATGTATCTTGCAATTGCCATACAACTCAGCATTTTCTGCATCATCCAAGCAGCTAATCTAGATGAGGACAAAGCCTGTGGTGACTGTTGTGCTGCAGGGACTCATGGAATTCCTGGCACACACGGTGCCCCTGGTGCTCCAGGCCCAATAGGCCTAAAAGGAGATATCGGAGTGAAAGGAGAAAAAGGAAACCAAGGTATAGATGGGAAAGATGGGCTTGAAGGTAAAATAGGATCAATTGGTCCAACAGGTGCTACAGGTGAGAAAGGCGAAAGAGGAGAGAAAGGCGAACAAGGTACCCTAAACAACCAGCCTAAATCTGCGTTCTCGGTTGCATTTATGAACAATCCTGGCCGTCATCCAATTAGTCCAATGAAATACACAACAATATTCACAAATGTGGGTAGTCACTACAATGCAGAAACAGGCAAGTTTGTCTGTCAACATCCAGGCACCTACGTCTTCCAATTTACATCAGGGTCATCTGACAACAGAAGCATTGTAACACAAATCATGAAGAATGGGCAACGTGTTGTCTCAGCATTTGAGAGTGGTCCCGGCTACAAATCAATTGGAAACATGATTGTTCTTGATTTAGTAGCAAATGATGAAGTGTGGACTCAGCCTCTAAGTACCAACTATAACTATTACTATAGTAACGGTAATACCTACTGTACTTTTTCAGGCTTCCTGCTTTATGCAACAGCATAAAGGATTTTAAACAAACTATTATATACAAATTTTATGCTTTTATGAAAAAAAATACACAAATATGAAAATTGTTAATATTCGATTACTTTCATCTTTTTACTTATAATGAAGTTAACATCAAATTGTGCTTGGTTGTAAAAATAGCTTATTTAATAATGCTACAAGTATAATCCGAGGTACAGAAAGCATTCTTAGCAACATCATACTGTATACAGTTGGTTCATGATACTTGGTTGAAATACAATCTGAACATTTGTGACTTGCTCTGGCAAACTCGCGGTTTGTTGCAATTTCTAATTTTGCACAAGCACCTAAAACGGTTGAGAATCAGAATTTTGAACATTTCCAGGTTTCCGCATTTTGTAAAAAAGATATTTGGAGAACATTTATGCAAAATATCAATCTCACTAAATCTAACTAAAAAGTATATCGTTACGCCATTGCTGAATTTGCAAGAGCCAGTCACATTTTACTAGTTGATGTTTTTCTTGGAATTATCTATTATTTCAGTAGTATGAATAAAAGAACTTTAAAAATGAACAAACTAATTAAAAATTGTCTGGTTTTAATCTGAATTTGTGTTGACAGCTCACTGACTCACTTCTCAGCATTTTGTTAAAAGTGTAGTGTCAAAAACCAAATGGTGGTGTGTATTTATTAAATATAATGTACTATCTGGCATTAAAACTAACCTCAACTCTCCACACTGAAATATTCAGGGTTCATATTTGTATTTACTCCCCACCCCCTAAAAAATATTCTTAGTTTTTATCTTGTGGACTAGCATTATTTCATTTTAATGTTCAAACTCTCATTAAAATCATGTTGTATGGTTATACCATACCAGTATATAGGTCCCTGGTTTTAAATTAATTTACTTGAAGGTCCAAATTATTTTTAGAGTTGATATAACAGGCCAAAAGATAATATCCGAGATGCAAGCAACCTGAAACTCTTGGGTACAATGCCCAAATCTCCCTGCTACCACAAATTCTTTGAAGGTTTGCTTCGGCCTTTCAAATTCTATTTTTAACAGTGGCTCTGAGATAGTGAAAGCTTGGAAGTCAAGTAAGCTATATTTTCTAGAAAGAAATAATGTGGAGTGCAATGTGAAGTATTATTATCATTCCAAAATACATTGCTGAAAACAAGTCACTTTGTATCTTGACTGGTCATGGACCTTAGTAAAGGTTTGTTTTGATTACATTTACGTGCATTCAGAATTTGATGACAAGAACGAACTGTATCATGCTTCCAGGAAGATTAATGAGTGCCAAGTATTCTCATCATTCTAAAGAATATCTTAAGACAGGATGATGTACTTAACATTACAGATGGTTTTCAGAATTCAATAGAAGTTTGTTGAATATTGAACCATCTGGATTCAAAGAGAAAAAGTAAGGGAAACAAAATTTAATTCTGAGTTTAGGAAGAAATAAAGGCACAGTTCAATATTATTTGGACATACATCTGTAAAATAACTTTAAACAGAACTATGTTCTTAAATAATGCAATGTAATATTAGTTTCTGGAATCAATGACAAAGTTGTTCAACCTCATTTTAATCCATCTGTGCTCACAAACAGCAAAAGTTCAAGAAATCTGATTGTATATAAAGGCACAGTAAAATCAGAACAACAGTTCATTCGGTATACAAGAATGCACTAAAGAAACAGCACACAGGGAAACTGTAAACTTCTCTTACTAACATCATACAAGACAAAGGACTTGAATGATAGATGTTCTTAGAAGATTTAGAAAAATCTTTAGGTAAGTAGAAATTAACTTGTTGACAGTTTTTTACTTAATAGCATGCATAAACATCAATGTGGAGAAGACCCTATGTTCTGCTTTTCAAACAACAACAATAATAATAATAATAATAATAATAATAATAATAATAATAATAATAATAATATATTTATATTATTTATTACATATTGCACATTGCCCCTATTTGCTTTACACAAAAAATATATACAGTAGGGCTAACCAAGAATATAAAAAAAAAAAAATTATAATAACAATAAACATTACATTGTTTTGCTTGCGTGTACTGTAGTATGATATGGACTCCCAATCCCAAGAAGAGGGTTTAATGGTAGTCATTATGTCAGTGGCGTAGGGATGGGGAGGGCAGCTGGTGCAAAGCACATGGGCCTAGGGCTAATAGGGGCCATTCATAAATAGACCTAGAAATAATTAAAATTAATTTCCAATTTAATGTGTTTGAAGAAAAAACACCAGCGGGCCCCTCAATAATACGTAGATTTTTAGAGGAGTAATTATTGATTACCATGTTCATTTAAATAGACCGAATTGGCGGCTCAGGTCACGTGAATTATAGTGGGTATAGGGTTTGTGTACAATCTATCAAGATCGTGAGAGGACAGTGCATTGAATATGGCTTCGCCTTGTTGTTGTAAGGCACATTATAGATGTTGCACATGTTGGTTGGAACGCGAGTTACAATTTGGTAAATCGTTTTATAAGTGTTTCAAAATTCAATTTTTAAAAACAGATGGGTTTGGATAGTGGGAGTGAAGCTTGGAAGTTTTTCAAGGAAAGGTACGTTCACGATGTGCATGCTGCTCATCGCCGGCTGAGGTACTTTTAAGCCCAAGTCAAGAATATATTATTCATGGCAAACGCTATCGCTGCATGAATAAAATAAAAATCTTCCCATTTGTTTAGTTGAGCAATCAGTACCGTTAAGGGCTATTTTCCACTTTATTACCTACTTGAGTACAGAGTATAGTTGAGGCATACCAACTCCCTCCCTGGTCCAGGCCCTGGTCAAGGCTTAACACTAACAGTTTAGCCGAGGCTTATACACTGTATGTAACCTACACTAGCAGCATTCGAGAGCCTAAATAAAATGCTCGGAGATTGCAAAATAATTATAAATTACTATTTTAAAAAACAGACTGCCTTACATTACTTTACTTTGGGTCGATGTCTAAAAAACATCATAACGCTCTCAAATTTTATATTATTTTATTCATTGTCCATTGCTATGTTTCTCGTCACTGTACCACATTGAAAATCAGTGCTATAGTACTGAAAGTGCCTACAGTATTAAAAAAGATTACATAAATAAAAACTAGATTCGGAATTCGTCATAGACGAATTCAGTGATACGCTGGGACTGATGATAGTTATTTTGATGATTTCTTAATGATTGAACATGAAGGAGACTTTTGGTATCAGAATAAAAAAAGGCATTTAACAAGACATGGAAATTTGTTTATACAATGTCAGTATGTCGACTCAAAAGTCACACAAATTTGTATATTTGATGCGCATGTATGGCATTGTTTTTGCACTAAAACGGCTGAGAGAGAATGGAACTGTGAATTCGGTGTCGGGAAATCATGATATGCAAAAAAACCTAATTTTCAATTTCAAAAATTGCTGTGCTCGTGAAAATGTGTGTACGCCATGACGTGTGCGGACGGCATTGCACACAAATTTGAATCTTGATATGTAGTACACTTGTGTCTTTCGGGTTGTAATCCACCCTGCTGCCGTTTGTTGGGGTTCGTTATGTAGTGAACATGTAGAATGAGGGTTTAAGTAATGTTAATAAAGTTGAACTATTAGAAATCTTCGCCGCTGGTAGCGTGTCACATAATAACCACCATGTAATCAAAAGAATATTGAAGAAAACCGATTTAAATAAATTTTTTCATTGATAATATGCCTGATCTTGTGGACGTAAATGATGACGTCGCAATTTCCGATCAGCCATTATGATCTATAAAATCATATCTACAACTCATGTGCTTTCAGAATATGTAATAAAAAATGGGTGTTACCGATCATTTTAAGGAGCTATAACTGATTGAAAATATGTACGATTTTGAGCACTTAAATTTTCAACGCACGCGTACGCGCATGTTATAATGCGCGCATGGAAAATTTGCGCGCATTACATTCATACTTGACTTGAAGTTTTATGCCAATTGAATATGATTTAGAAATGTCAATTGTTTATGATGATATAGGCGATTTCAATGATTTGAGGAAAGAAAGATGAATGGTCAGATAAAAAAGTTATGTAAAAAATGATAACGTCATCAAAATGTAAAAATTTGTGACATTTGTGAAAGAGAATTGTCTCAGTTATAACCTTCCTCGAAGTTTGGAGAAAATCGATCAAGGATAAGGAAGATACGCTCAAATGTGCATTTTTTTTAAATGACGTCATCGATAATATTCAGTTTGTTGAATTCAGATGGCAATATGATGACGTCATAATGTCCGATCAGCCATTATGACCTATAAAATCATATCTACAACTTATGTGCTTTCAAAATATATAGTAAAAATTGCGGGTCACCGATCATCCTAAGGAGCTATAACCGATTGAAAATAGGCATGATTTTGGCCTATTTCCGCTCTAAGTCGACAAAAACGCGCACATGGATTCATATCTTTTATGTGCGCATACAGCATTGCTATTGACCCTAAATGACCGAAAAAGATTGGAAATTTGTAAATACAGTGTCTGGAACCTAAAAAACATGTAAAAAAAATGATAATTCCAGCTTTTGTACATGCGCGCGCGGGACGAAAAATTTGAAAAATTACGAAATGCTCAAAATGACCTAAAACATGCTCTAATTTAGTCAAAAAGTAATTTTGAGTAATTTTTAAAATTTTGCGCACGCGTACGCACGTACTTTCCTGTTGGTGCGTGGACGGTAATGGTGCAGGAAGTTGACACTTGATGTGAAGTATACTTGTGTCAAGTTTCATTGAAAAATACCTGTTAGTAAAGAAGTTATGGTCAATGATAGAATTTCACAAAATGGCGCGTAGATGACGTCACGTAACTGTGACGTCATCCACAAAGTCAGGTGCGCAACACTGTGGTTTAGGATGTGGTTTGTTTACATTTAGTACCCACTATATGTTTCATGATTGGTAATAGCTGGAGGTGCCGATTCAGTCTATTGCTTAATTTTCCACCAGTTTTCTTGATTAGTTAAGAACTAGCTTCTGAGACCACATAGGCCCGCTGAAATAGTTACGAAAGTTACGATTATCATTAGTATGTATTACTACTGTAGCCTAGGCTATATAAGGGTAGGGGTAAAAAGAAAAGAAGCACTTCATACAATGAAAATATGAATCATACCTATTCGTAAAATTTTCATTTAAAATACGGATCCTGAAGATTTAAAATGGCGGGGCTTTCAGGGATGAAACAGCAATCGCAGAACTGAATTTATTTTTGGTAGTTGCATTAATAATTTAATACCATAGGCAGAATTTTTAAAAAGGGGGCCTCCATCCTCTAAAATTTTAAAAATCTATATAAAAATATGGAGGAAAAAATAAAACTTATTTAAGTGCCGTTCCCAGAGATCAAGAGGTTTCATACAGTGGGAGCAACAGCGGGGTGAGGGACATTTCCCCCATAGGACAGGCCTGGACCCCTGCTGTCTGATGCATAACAAGGTAGTCAGACCAAAAATTAAAAAAATAATAATTTGCCTATTCAAACCAAGAGCTATAAAAACGTGAACCCTACAAGGAGTTTTTGTATTTCGTGGCATCGACCTAGGCTTCGTCGACCCCTTGGCTCGAACCTCTCCATCAGACATGTTGGACCCCTTGTCTGCAAATTTCTGGTTCCACCTTTGGTGCCATAGTTATAAAATGTCATAACTCAGTCCCAATCATTATTTAGGCATGTGATATGTTTTTGTCAAATAAACTTTTAGTTCGGACAGCTCTTAACATTGCTGCTATTGCAATGAAAGGATTTATAGTTGACTTTGCTGTGTAAAATAATTAGCACTCATATACATAACCAAAGTAATGTAATTAATTTAATCAATTTCAGATTCAAAATGTATCTTGCAATTGCCATACAACTCAGCATTTTCTGCATCATCCAAGCAGCTAATCTAGATGAGGACAAAGCCTGTGGGGACTGTTGTGCTGCAGGGACTCATGGAATTCCTGGCACGCACGGTGCCCCTGGTAATCCAGGCCCAATAGGCCTAAAAGGAGATATCGGAGTGAAAGGAGAAAAAGGAAACCAAGGTATAGATGGGAAAGATGGGCTTGAAGGTAAAATAGGATCAATTGGTCTAACAGGTGCTACAGGTGAGAAAGGTGAAAGAGGAGAGAAAGGCGAACAAGGTACCCTAAACAACCAGCCTAAATCTGCGTTCTCGGTTGCATTTATGAACAATCCTGGCCGTCATCCAATTGTTCCAATAAAATACACAACAATATTCACAAATGTGGGTAGTCACTACAATGCAGAAACAGGCAAGTTTGTCTGTCAACATCCAGGCACCTACGTCTTCCAATTTACATCAGGGTCATCTGACAACGGAAACATTGTAACACAAATCATGAAGAATGGGCAACGTGTTGTCTCAGCATTTGAGAGTGGTCCCGGCTTTAAATCAATTGGAAACATGATTGTTCTTGATTTAGTAGCAAATGATGAAGTGTGGACTCAGCCTCTAAGTACCAACTATAACAATTACTATAGTAACAGTAATACCTACTGTACTTTTTCAGGCTTCCTGCTTTATGCAACAGCATAAAGGATTTTAAACAAACTATTATATACAAATTGCAAACCAGCAACTTGCAACAGAGGCTTTTATGAAAAAAAATACACAAATATGAAAATTGTTAATATTCGATTACATTCATCTTTTTACTTATAATGAAGTTAACATCAAATTGTGCTTGGCTGTAAAAATGGCGGATTCAAGGGGTAGATGAGCAGGCATGGGCCCAATCCCCCACCCCAAATTTTATTTTCATTAAATAAAATGGGGCAAAAAAGGAGAACTGTAATCAAAATCAGGTCAGAGAGTGCCATTTCCGGCCATCTAGAGGTGCCATGATCATAAATTTTACCTTAGACTTAACCATGGTGGGGCCGAGGTGGTCTAGACTCTCTGGGCTCTCTCTACTCCGAATTTCTGGATCCACCACTGTTTAATTTTACTACACTGCAATATTATGACACACAGCATTCATTATAATTATATTGAAACCAAAGATTGATTTAATATTTTGCCAAAAGAAGGCACTTCAAGAACTAATTCTTCTTTGTTTTAAATCATCACAAATTGAGATTGGTGAAAAGATTTGCTCGACAATGGGGAAAGAGCGATGTCACTGGCGGGGTTTGGGTGGCGATGTTACCCAATGTGAGAGCAACTGAATGGGGGCTATGGTCCGGGTTTATTAATTTACTTAAAGGGCTAAATCATTTTTTAAGTTGATATAACAGGCCAAAGATAATATCCAAGTTAGCAAGTTGTTATAATTCATGGACCTGAAACTCTTGGGTATAATGTGGTCAAATCCCTCTGCTGGTGCAAAGTTCTTGGAAGGTTTTCTATTTTTAACCTTAATCTTACGACACTACAACATTACATGATACAGCACTTATTATAATTATACTGAAACAGTGGCGGCTCTAGGATGTATTTTCTGTGATGGGGGGCTGTCTGACAGGGGGATTTGGGCTCGTAGGCCTGAGCTGGGGGAGGGTTTGAGAGGGAGTTCCCCTTCACAAATGAGATTTTTTTAGGAATGAACCTCAGGATGGCCAGAAATGACACTCTCCGATTGTGGCAAACATGTGTTGGCTTGGCGTGGGCCTATCCTTATATATTTTTTAGGCTGATCGAAGAGCTCTGTCCGATGGGGAGCGGGCTTAAGCCCCTGCTTTCCATCCCCCCTGGCGCCGCCACTGTACTGAAACCATAAGATTGATTCAATATATTGCCAAAAGAAGAGGGTACTTCAAGAACTATTTCTTGCTTGTTTCAGATAGTGTCAATCATCACTTTCAAATACCCAGAGATGACTTCAGTAAAAGTAGTTATTGCACATGGCCAGTGTTACGTTTTGTCCTTTACCATATTAAAAAATATTCATTGAATGATTATTACTTTCACTTTGATTTTATTATTTTTTATCAATTAATTTGTTTTTTGCACACCAGACCAAAACAAACTTGGCCCACAGGCTCCTATAAGAAACAAGAATATTGGGTTTACCAAAATTAACTTATTGTGGTAACTTGCACAAATTTACTAATTAGTAAAATATTAACATATGCAAATGAGCAATTAGCATATTCACACATGTACCAAAAACAATAGGCTCCGTTTTCTTATTACCATCTTGCATTCTGTCCATTTTGTAACCAATCGGACTTAACAAACTTTAGTTATTGTGGTAGCAAACATTTACTACCAACAACAACCACGACAGCGACAGCAACAATAAATAAAATGAAAAACAACGACGACAACAACATGAATAAGAACACAGAAACAATAACCTCCCCAGGACTTCATTCTTTTGGGAGGCTATAAAAAATGATAACACACTGTAAACTTTCATTATAAACATACTGGAAATGTGCTGCTAACTAGAGAATTTTAAGCTTGCTGTGCAAGACTGAATGCATAAAATGAGTATGTGCAATAAAGTATTACAGGGAGATTACCTGTTTTCTATAAGGCGTAATAATACCACAATCTGTAACTGCAACTGTCTGGTGAGACTGCTGTAGTAAGGCCTGTAGGTACTTGATTGACTGTACAGCTTCTGCTGGGTTAAACCATGATGGACTGTTACCTTCCTGAAGCTCCTCGCCCTGGAGGCAGAGAAGACAAAAAATCTTAAATATTTTAGATTAAAAGAATTATTACTTAAAAAAAAAAATATAGGTCTAACAGAAAGCAACCTATTAATGATTATAGGCTTCTTTTTTTTTTTTTTAGATCCAAATTTATATGGCGCTTTTCAGATTCTGGAGAATATACAAAGGCGATGGCCTCAGTATTTCCCTGGTGACTGGATACTTAGTTGGCTTTTGTGCAACTCTCTCTGCTGCCTGGGGAGTATCCCTAGTCATGCTGCTTTACACGCACAACCTAATACGCCACAATGACCAAGGACACAAGCAATGCCACAAGCGTCGGTCTCAAACTCCCGATCTCACAATCAGAAGTCCAACACCTTATACGCTGCGCCACATGTTTCTACATAAAAGGTTAATGGGCATATTTAGCTTGTGGTAATGGAGCTGGCATTAATTTCAAGTTTTGTTGAAAGCTAGCCCAGCCTCTAGCCCATAGGCTTAGCCAGCGAGCTGTCCAGCCGTCTTTGGGACGGACAACAATTATTTAGGACGGCCACTTTTACCGTGATGGCTTGGACGGCTTGGCCTAATCAGCTCGGCCTTGCCTAATTGGGCCTGGTCTACCTTTAGCAAATTCTTTATATTCTTCAAATCTATCGACAACCAGGCTCACATCTTAGAATAGAGCAGGATAGACAATTGGGCACAGGTAGGGTAGGACGATTTGACCCACTCTGTGAAGACAATCCGAGTAAGAATTGTAGTAATACATTCTGTGTGTATAGTGACAGAATAAAAACATAAAATCAAATTTACTTTTTTTTTACAACAAAAATGACAAGAACCACAACGTGGAGAGCACAGGTAAAAACAGCTGAGAGTTGGAGAGGCTAATAATAGCTGGTCAAATACTGATAAAAGATGACATCTGATGGGATACGGCATCAAATTACCCATCTATGAGTACAGTATGCATTGAGCAGTACAAGTGGGAACAGTTTGGTTTCCGAACCTCGAGGTTGGGGTTTTAATCCCTAGCTGTGTACTTCATTTTTTACCTTGAACAGGGCGCTTTATCTACACTGCTTTTCTCTACCAAGGAGCATCAATGCGTACCTGGTGGTGCTGTCTGCTACTGCAACAATGTGGCAGCAAACACTTAAGCACACATGAGCTTGTGGCGCAGTGTGTAAGCTGTTGGACTTCTGATTGTGAGATCGAGAGATCCAGACCAAAGCTCGTCGCATTGCTTGTGTCCTTGGGTAATGTACTTTACTTACGTTTGCCTCTCTCCACCCAGAAGTATAAATGGGTACCTGGTAGGATGGTGTGGCATTGAACATATGTGGTTGTGTATGTCAAGCCGCATGAGTAGGGATATTCCCCAGCGAGCAGAGAAACTTGCACAGAAAATGTGTTGGTTTACCAACTAAGTATCCAGTGATCAGGGAAATACTGATGCCAGCGAATCTGTATATTCTCCGGAATGTAAATTTGGATTCTAAAAAAAAAAAAAAATGTTTTTAAATAAAATAAAAACTGTGGTGCCAATGAACAGGGAAACCTCCAGCACTTCGTATCAAAGAAAAGCGCTATACAAGAAACAAGGAACAAGTATGAAAACATGAGGATGAGTATGCAATGTACTTATTGTGTGAGGCACCAGTATTCACTTCTTCTCTTGTTTAAAAAAGAATGTATAATTTAATATTTTAAAGTGAATTAATAATTTTAAAGAATTTTACCTGAACACCATGAAAGATAATTGGGAAGTTCTTGTTTGGCAGCAATTCCCACGATTTGAACTTATCCCGTATTTGCACATCAGCTTTCACTACTAACTCGTTATGATAAAATAAATTGGACGGTATGTGTAAAATACACTCGTGCGACCTGTAATTATTGACAAGCTTTGTGACCTGAAATGAAAAGTTTCACTAACTCATAAAGAAGTATTAAAACATCCAGCTTGTGTGCACTTAAACCCATTGCATCTTTCGGAAGAGTAGGGGGTTGCCCAAAAGCTGTGGATTATTATCGTAGAATGATGTGAGCATATAGCTACCACAAGTGCCTCTTTTGGTGGTTAGGTAGTCACGGAAAATGCACATACGCAATTCAGAACAGTGACGCTGCTAGTTACGGTTTATCTCCGACCTTTACTTTTTTTTTATCATTATTAATTTTCAAGCAGGTAGTGTGCATCCTCAAATGACAAAATAAAATAAAAGGTATGCTGCAAAGAAATATGATATTATCCTTTCAGGCAAATATGCTGCCATGAACTTTAGTGCAGGTATGATGCATGCTTTGTAGATTTTATTATTGGTGGTAGTATACAAATGTAGTGATGTATAGAGTAGCCAGTTGTTTGTTGGAAAAACAGGTTTTACCTCAAAAACTATATTTTTTTTTACACATGGTGCACCAAAAGTTCTATAATTTTGTTATTGATACTTGCCATGCTAGCCTTCAAGATACATTTTAAACTACCAATTTGCTATCGGACAAATCACTTGTTAGTTTTGTGTATACAGACATGCCAACCCTACAAGACCAACAAGAGGAGCCTAAAAAACTTCTGAGCGGAGTTTTAGCAATGTCAGAGGAATATTCCTAAGACATGGTACCAATGTGATCGGATTGTAAAATGTAACTGTTTTGACTCACAACAGCAATACCGCTGTGCAAGACTAGGCCCTAGGCCTAGGGAGAAAATCAAAACCGCACCAATTACAACGAGCGTAACGTAGGCATCACCTACAGTAGTTTTGATTTCAAACTGACAGCCCGAATAAATTTTTCTTATACAGTTCAGAGTGCAACTCTGACACCGATTTGGTCAATGAAATTGGTTTCTTTCGAAATCAGTAGTCCATAAAGCACGAATTACTATTTCGTATACAATTCAGAGTGCTGTTTTCAGGACTAAATTAAGTGGTCTTGTTCTTATCTACAGTAAATCACAGGATTATCATTTTATTTGGAAATGCACGATTGAGAGAGCAGCTTAGCTCAGTCGGCTTATCTGGTGGTAGCCACTGTGTGTGCACTGAACCGTGGAGATCTCTAGGTCCCCGGTTCAATTCCCATCGTTGCCTCTCCTTGTGTTTCAGCTAGAGGGTTGAAATACAAGTTACAATTAGCGCACCATCTTTCGGATGAGACGTTTAAGCCGTTGGTCCTGTGTGCATTATGGCCCATGTGCACGTTAAAGAACGCAGTACACTCTTCGGAAAAGAGTAGGGGATTGTCTCCCGGTGTACTGCCCAATCACCACCAGAAGGACCCCACTGGAAATAAGTCTTCTTCTAGACTTTCGTGGGCTATCCTTGGTGTTAACACTGAATAAATCCAATTTATTTCAGCTGGCCAAAATGCATAAAAAAGCGGAGATTTTCAACCCATAATTGGAGTGCTGAGTTTTGCTTAAATAAACAGAGTAACTCTGCCGAAACCGTAGAGGTTGGCATATCTGTATATATAAAACCAACTGAAGATTTTTAAAAAGTTACAGAGGTGATGCTAACACAATATTTTATTTTACTATTGCCTAGCTTTATACTTCAACATACATAAACTGGTTTCAGATTACTAGTGATTACTTACCAACAGTGGATCATAGCTACCGTGATCGCGGAATTTCTTCTCATCACGCTGATAGACTGGTCGCTGCATCAGTCTCTCTAAAAGTGATTGGTTCAAGCCAAGTTTAATCGCATGAGGACTCTGTAACACAGGTCCCAGTTGCATGGGGTCACCAGCAAGAATTATCTACAAAAACCAAGGGAAAAAATTCAAAAAGAATATTTCAAAGGACAGCAAAACGTCGATTTTATGAATGGTCTTTGCCCTGACGACATCACCATCGACCAAAATTACCGTAAAAAATCTGGTTGCGCATGTCTTACTGATGTAATTTATATTTTTCTTAATAAAATCAAGTTTGTTGTTATTTTTTAATAGTTCGATCCTTTCTTCCATTTCTGGAATAATAATCACTATATTAATGTAATAAACCTAACTAGAACAAGGAACTGCCAACGCAAGTGTCGTCGGATTGAACGCACATGTTTACGATGCCGAACGAGAGTGTTGGGGTTTGCAACTTATTGACAACATGAATGCTAGATATGATCGCAAAATGCATGTAAACAACACAATTCTGTGATCTAACAACTAGAAAGAACACGATAGAAAGGTCCATAAAACATATATGTTGGAATAAGAGTTAAAATAATATTTTGTTAAGTTTGAAGAATGCCAGCAATTAAAATAATTTGGTTTTTATCGAAGGTAAGTTTAGCTAGGTTCCTGCACTGTAGAATACGCTGCTGCACTGTCGGTTCATGCTAGCCCTGGCCGCCGTCAGCCTATCGGCGCTCAATGGCAGGGGATAGCTAGGCCTAGGTATTGGAAACTGACACCCGATCTAGTTTACAAATTTTTCAATTTACGAACACCCCTTGGTACCAAGGTGTACGTAAAATGGATATACAGTACTGTACTGTATTGTGAGTGTGGCTGGTGCAATGATTCCAATTCAGGCTCTCAATCTAGATGTTCATGGGTGAGGCACATTACATATGGTTGTCTCGCTCTACCAAGTAGTACAAGTTGGCACTTGGTAGGTTCAAATACTGAAGTGCTAATTACAAGCTGCAACAGTAGTGGCACCAGCAGGGGGCAGGGGGACATTTGCCGTCCTCGTTGGATCAAATATAAAAATTACCCAAATAACGTTGTGATTGCCAAACCCTAATATTGGAGTCTAAAAAAGCACAATTTGGACCATACTAAGTCCAAAAACCTTTAACCGTCAATTCCAATTCCAGACCAATCACCCTAGGTTAGTGTGGAAGAAAAGTGGTTAGAAAACAAGGTAAGCAGAGACCTGCCTTCAATTACCGAAATTTTAAGTTCAATCTCTGAAAATGACCGGACTTCCTTACCAAACATTATTAAGAGGTTTATAATACACCATATACTTCTATGTTGTCATTAAAAATTTGGAATAGAATGGTAACCATTCTTTGTATTTTTACTACCTGTGAGTCATCTCCTGTTGCCAGGGCAACTGGTATAAGGCATTCTGGTTCTGTTGCTTGTCCCGCTTCATCGACAAAGATGTGAGTAAAGTGTCCCGGACGCAGTTTGAGCTGGAAGAACGAGCCAGCTGTTGAGCATGTACATATGATGATGCGATGATGAACAACTATTTCAAGCACTTGTCCATCAGTACAATAAGGTTTTATACTTTCATCAATATTCTAAGAAAGAAAAGCAGTATGTTTTAAAACATAATATAACCATATAAAGTAGAAAGATAAACATATAAAAACACTTATAATTAAACAGCAATGCAACAGTTTGCTCTACTTTCTGTTAGGGGTTATTTTGGTTAAAGCTTTTGCTGACTGTCTTTCATAAAATGACTGTCAATTAAACTGACCTCCTCTGATCGGCGAAATGAGTTGAGTCTCACTAGGTCATTTTGCTTTACTCTCCCACTGTTTGCAAGTCTACTGGTCTGTAAAAAAAAAAATATACATTTGTTTTCTTAGCACATAGGCTACATTCTCTGTCAGCACACGTTGCAATCTTGAAAATAATCAGCTGACAACCACTACATGGTGTTTAAAGGTATCCTTGATTCAGTAGAAGTATAGACTATGATATATTCAGTTACTTGTCCAGTACCTAAACGAAGGGTCCTAGGGGAACAGGCAAAGACTCATCTTTTGACACTATGGGCATAGAGGCTATTCAATACCATTTCTGAGCAATCTATAATAAATTTGTTTCCTTCTAAAAAATGGCGCCATACACCAGAGGTGCATTGTTCTGTGACCAATTGAAAGATACATCA